CTAAATTCCCAAGGGCTCCGAGGAGTAAAAACAGCGCCAAACAGGCCAGGGACCGCCCCCCAGCCTCCGGCTGGTTGAGCGTGAGGCCCACTCCCTTGGCCAAAGTCCTGGGAGATCAGAAAGCATCTAGGACAGTGGTTCTCAACCTTCCTAATGCCGCGACCTTTTCATACAGTTCCTCATGTGGTGGTGATTCCCAACCATAAAATTATTTTCATTGCTACTTCATCACTGTAATGTTGCTACTGTTATGAATCATCATGTAAATATCTGATCTGCAGGATGTATTTTCATTGTTACACATTGAACATAATGAAAGCATAGTGATTCATCACAAAAACAATATGTAATTATATATGTGTTTTCCGACGGTCTTAGGCGACCCCTGTGAAAGGGTCGTAGGACCCCCAAGGGGGTCGAGACCCACAGGTTGAGAACCGCTGATCTAGGGGCTTCCACGGCCTCCCTTTGGACTCCAGGCTCTACCCAGAAATGGATGCGGGTACGAGACATTGCGAAAATGCCTTTAGGGCTCCTGCGCGGGAGGTACGCTGTCATTTGCATTGCTGTGCAGTGCTGGCTGGGGCGGCACTATACTTTGCTGTTCAATGATCAAAGACCCTATGGCCTCCCAAAGCAAACTGGTTTTCACCTGGTTGGGCCACACCTGCTGCTGATGGACCACATTTTTGAGAGATCAGTGGAAGCGAAGGGGGACGACATTGGAACAGGATTCCATAGCATCCTAACGCCTTAATGGTGTTAAAACAAAACTTTTTACTGGACTGCGCAGGACTCAGGGCTGTTCACTGACTGTAGAAACCTTTACCTGATTAAAAAAACAACAACCTGGTCCCCTTTACACCAAGCTAATAACCTCACGGTATTATACACAGTTAATTGCTCTGTGTAATCTTATTTGGACCATCCAGTAACTCAACCAACAGGAGGAAATCCAAGGGCAAGAGTTTGGAGCCAGATCACCCACTTTTGTTTGGTAAGAAGCTGAGCTCACATGATTGATGGCTCCCTTCCCCAAGATTGCCCTAAGGCCGTGGTTGGCAAACTGAGGCTTGCGAGCTACATGCGGCTCTTTGGCCCCTTGAGTGTGGCTCTTCCTAAGCCTTAGGAGTACCCTAATTAAGCTAATAACCATGGACCTACCTATATAGTTTAAGTTTAAAAAATGTGGCTCTCTCTCATGCCGAAACCGGTTTGGCTCAGTGGATAGAGCGTCGGCTTGCGGACTGAAAGGTCCCAGGTTCGATTCCAGTCAAGGGCATGTACGTGGGTTGCTGGCACATCCCCAGTGGGAGATGTGCAGGAGGCAGCTGATCGATGTTTGTCTCTCATCGATGTTTCTAACTCTCTATCTCTCTCCCTTCCTCTCTGTAAAACATCAATAAAATATATTTAAAAAAAATGTGGCTCTCAAAAGAAATTTCAATCTTTGTACTGTTGATATTTGGCTCTGTTGACTAATGAGTTTGCCGACCACTGCCCTAAGGGACTACAGAAGGAGAGAGAGAGAGAGAGAGAGAGAGAGATTAAAATTAAGAGTGTGATATTGTGCAGGTATAGACTGAACAAAGGGATAGATTAGAGAACACAGAAACATAACCTTGCATGTGTAAAATGGTGGTATATGGTAGAGGTGGTAAGTAAAGGGGAACTTTTCATTAAGTGAAGCTGGAAAATGGTATTTATACTGAAAGAGATGAAACCGTAACCCTCCCCCATGCCGTACACACACACACACACACACACACACACACACACACTCTATTCCAGGTAGATAAGACTTAAATGTCATAAACACAACTTTAAAGCTCTTAACAGAAAACATTGGCAAAGAACTATGGGATAGAAAAAGATTTATTAAACAATGCAGACAAACCATTGACTATAAAACAGAATATTGATAACTTTGACTTTGTTAACATTAAGAACTTTTACCCATCAAAAGACAAAGCCAAAAGCAAAAAAGACTAGGTGTGCATTGGGAGAAAATATTTTCAATAAACACAAGTGACAAAGGATTTCTATTATGAATATATATGTATATGTATATTATATATACATACATGTATGTACAAAATAATAAGAAAATCACAAATAATCCAGTAGCGAAATGGGTAAAAATCATGAGTAAACATTTCATAGATGGAGAAATACATATGACCAACAAGTATATGAACAGATATTCTACCTCATTAGTGATACGGGAAATGCAAATCAAGACCACAATGAAATTCTACTGTATACTCACTCAATTATCAAAAATTAATAGCAGCTGGTGGAGATGTGAGTCCATATGAGCTCTTGAACACTCCTGGTGGGAATAACAATTGCTACTTAACAGGAAAAACAGTTCCCCATTATCTCTTAAAATTGAACATGCATCTACCTTCCAAGATAAATTATTTTTTAAAAAAAATATTTTTATTTGAGAGGAAGGGAGAGGGAGAGAGAGATAAAAAACTTCAGTAATGAGAGAGAATCACTGATTGGCTGCCTCCTGCACGCGCCACACTTGGTGTTGAGCCCCCAACTCGAACAGGTGCCCTGACCCAAGAACCGAACCATGACCTCTTGGTTCATAGGTTGATACTCAACCACTGAGCCATGCCAGCCGGACCCAAGAGAAATTCTTAAATATGTACCACAGGGACCATGTACACCAAAGTTCGTAGATATACTTTTGTGAATAGCCAAAACAACTCATATGCCCATTAACTTTGGTATATTAACACAGTGAAATATTAATGAAACAAGAAGAAAACAAATCAGAGATACATGCATATGTAAAATAGAGAAAAACCCTTCCTTCATTCCTTCTCACTCCTTAGAGGAAACAACCTTCCCCAGTTTGGGGGGTAACCTTCTGAGCCTTCTTCTAGGCCAGTGGTTCTCAACCTTCCTAATGCCGCGACCCTTTAATACAGTTCCTCAGGTTGTGGTGACCCCCAATTTCATTGTCACAAATTGAACATAATTAAAGCATAGTGATTAATCACAAAACATTATGTAATTATATATGTGTTTTCCGATGGTCTTGGGCGACCCCTGTGAAAGGGTCGTTCGACCCCCAAAGGGGTTGCGACCCACAGGTTGAGAACCGCTGAGTCTATGCGCATACAAAATATTTAGAACCAGAGTTGCCTTGTTTGTCCCAAAAGAGAACCTGTAGAACGCATGGCTTTGTTCTTTCTCCTGAGCCAAATATTTCTTCATTTCCCCCACCTCCCCATGAAGCAGGCCTCCTTTGGGGACTGACCCAAGATAAGATTTTATAACTAGAAGATTGGTTTCTGGGTTCACAGGAAAACAAAGCCAGAAGCAAAACTGTCAAGGAAGGGAAAGAAATTGATCTGCCAGCAGGTTTTGACCTCATCTCTCTCACTGGTCAAAGTTCACCCAACTGGGCGTTAATTTCCTCACACCTTTGAATTGTGTTACTTTGGTCCTGGCTGTCACTGGGGAGTCAGATCCTATATGCCACAGTTCAGTGCCGCGTCCGGAAGTGGTAGGAGTCAGAGCTTCCATGAGTCTGTTCAGACTGAGTTTGAGAGGTATAAATTGGGTCCAATGTTCCCATTTTTATATGTCAAGTAACTACAGTGATTGATATCAATCCTTAAGAATAGTTTCTGTCTTAGTCTTTTTCCATAAAATCCACCCATTTAAAGTGAACAACTTATGCCCGGCTGGTGTGGCTCAGTGGTTGGGTGTCGACCTATGAACCAGGAGGTTCGATTCCTGGTCAGGGCACATGCCTGGGTTGTGGGCTCGATCCCCAGTGTGGGGTGTGCAGGAGGCAGCCAATCAATGATTCTCTCTCATCTTTGATGTTTCTTTGTTTTTTTAAAATTATTATTTTATCATCGTTGATGTTTCTATCTCTCTTTCCTTCTCCCTTCCTCTCTGAAAGCAATAAAAATATATTAAACAATAAAGTGAGCAATTCAAGTGTTTTTAGTATAATCACAGAGTTGTACAACCATTACCACCATCTAATTTCAGAGCAATTTCAACATTCCCACACCCATCATCAGTCATTTCCCAATCCCCTCCCCAGGCCCCTGGCAACCACAAACCAGTTTTCTGTAGGGTTACTAATTGAATCTACCACCAGGGGCTAAAAAAAAAAACTCACTCTCAAAGTTTTATAAGTACAGATTGGCCCTTGCACTGGTTGGTTGCCCAAAGTCACACTGCCTAGGTGGCCTGACAAACTTTAAGTGGATAATGTAACTTTAAGCGATTTCTTTTTTTTCTAAAATATATTTTTATTGATTTCAGAGAGGAAGGGAGAGGGAGTGAGAGATAGAAACATCAATGATGAGAAGGAGTCATTGATCGGCTGCCTCCTGCAAGTCCCCCACACTGGGATCAAGCCCACAACCCCAGCATGTGGGAGGCAACCAATTGGGAGGCAACCCAATCGATGTGTCTCTCTCACATCAATGTTTCTCTCTCTCTGTCTCTCCCCTCCCTTCCACTCTCTCTAAAAGTCAACAGAAAAATATCCTTGGGTGAGGATTAACAAAACAACAACAAGAGTATAAAGGTATGAAGATTGGGAAAGAAGAAACAAAATTGTTACTATCTGCAGTTACTTATTGTCTTTGTAGAATATTTGAAAACCTACAGATAAATTATTCAAATGATAAGCACTATTAGTAAGGTTGCTGGCTAGAATCATTATACAGAAATTGATTGCATTCCTGTACACCAACAACACACAGAAAATGTAATTGAAAAAAACACCATTTATTACAGCATCTAGAATGATCAAATACCTAGGAATAAATCTGACTATACAGACTGTATGGAGAGAATTATAAAACTCTGTTGGAACCCATTAAAGAAAAGCTAAAAAAAAAAAAATGGGGAGATAACTCGTGTTCATGGTTTGGAAGACTCGGTTTTATGAAGATGTCAGTTCTTCCCAGACTGGCCTGTAGACTCGATGCAAGTCCAATAGACATCTCAACAATGTTGTGTGAAACTCAACGATCTAATTTAAAAATAGGTGTGGAGTTGTAAACAACAAGAAGAGCAAAAACATTCTAGAAGAACAAGGTGGGGAGATCTGCCTTCCTGATACCAAGACCTGTAGTTATGGTAATTAAGAGAGTGTGATAGAGGCACAGAAATAGACAAATAGCACTGTGGAACAAAAGAGAGATTAGGAGCAGATTTATGCTATATATATATATATATATATATATACACACACACACACACATACATATACATACTAGAGGCCCAATGCACGAAATTCGTGCAAGGGGCCCAGCCTTCGAAGCCTCAGCTGGCCCTCACAGCCCTCGCTTCATCTGGAAGGTTGTCGGGACAGTCATTCTGCTGTTCGGTCTAATTAGCATATTAGGTCTTTATTAGTTGCCCATTGATTTTTTTAGAGACAGTGGAAGGGAGAGGGAGAGATAGAGAGAGAAACATCGATGTGAGAGAGACACATCGTTTGGTTGCCTCCCACACACGCCCCAACCAGGGCTGGGGATCGAGCCTGCAACCAAGGTACGTGCCCTTGACTGGAATCAAACCTGGAACCCTTCAGCCCAAGCGAGGGCTGACGCTCTATCCACTGAGCCAAACCAGCAGATTTATGCATATTTAGACCTTTGGTAACATGACTACAGAGCCGTAGGGAAAAGACAGACTTGCATTAAGTGGTACTGGGCATGTTGGAAGCCATATCATCAAAACAGAAACAGACTGGTTAGAGGTGCAGGCAAACATTCTATCCAAACGACTGCGGTTGGAAGAAGTTCAGAGAAGGTGACTCCTTGGACACAATTTAAAGTTTTTACTGAGGCAGAGCTCAGGGTGGAAAAGTACTGGGCAAGCGAGTTAGCTGACTCCGAGGATGGATGGTCACACAGCTTGTCCTTTTTCAACATCCCATGCCTTCTTCTGGTCAGCCAGTTCCAGTTCAAGGTGCTCACTACTCAGAATCTGATCTTGCTCCTTGGAATTTATTGCAAGTACCTGCTTTTTTCATTTCTTAGAATTGCCCTTAGGCACAAACGTTCAGTTCAAAGTTTAGGAGTGGAAGAGGCTAGCTTCTTACAAGATTGAAAACAATAAAATTGGACTCTACCTCACACCGTACAAAAATTAATTCCAAGTAGCTGAAGGACTTAAATATGAGAGGCAAACCTACAAAGCTTTTAGAAGACAATATGGGAGACTTGAGATTTTGGAGTAGAAAAGTGTTTCCTTTTTGGGGGGTGGGGTATAGAAAAGGCTTTCTTAAATAGACATCAAATACACTAACAGAGAAAAATGATTGCCAAATTTGACTACATTAAAACCAGTACTTCTACTCATCAAAATACATCACATCGAGAGTGAAAATATCATCCTCAAATTGGGAGAAGATATTTTCCATATCTATAGCCTACAAAGCATTAGTATACAGAATATATAAAGAATTCCTGGCCCTGACCTGTTTGGCTCAGTGGATAGCGTATCGGCCTGCGGAAGTTAGTAAGAAAGAAACTAATACAATTTTTATTTTCATGTAGTTGTTGCCTAGGCAGTGATGGCGAACCTATGACACGCGTGTCAAAGGTGACACGCAAACTCATTTTTTTGGTTGATTTTTCTTTGTTAAATGGCATTTAAATATATAAAATAAATATCAAAAAGAAAAATGGGCAAAATTCATTAACAGTAATTTCATAAAAGAGAAAGACAAATGATCCATAAATATGTGAAAAAGGTCTTTAATTGCCCAGATGGCATGGCTTAGTGATTGAGCATCGACCCATAGCCAAGCAGTCATGGTTCCATTCCCAGTCAGGGCACATATCTGGGTTGTGGGTCGATCCCACCAGTAGGGGATGTATAGGAGGCAGCCGATCAATGGTTCTGTCACCATTGATGTTTTTATCTCCCTATCCCTCTCCCTTGCTCTCTGAAATCAATAAAACCTTTTAAAAAGGCCTTTAATCTCATCAGTTATCAGGGGAAACGCAAAGTAAAAAATAATAAGATACAACTTCTCATCCATAAGATTGACAAAAATTGAAAAACGGATGATATTGCATGTTCTCAAGGAAGTGGGCTAATGAGAACATTACACTCCTCCTGCTCGCTGGTAGGAGTATAAATTGGTTCAATCACTTTGGGAAGCTGGCACTGTATAATGAAGTGAAGTGTGCACTGACCCTTTGACCCGGCAAGTCAATCACTGGGTGTATTCTTTAGAGAAATTCTTGCATATGTGGCCCACAAGACCTGCAATAATATTTATAGAAGCTTTATTTCAATTGGGTAAAACCCCGAAACCATACACATGACCTTCTACAGTTGATGGTCTAAGTGAGTAGAGTCCTTTTCATATAATAGGATGTTACACAGAATGGATGAAAACAGCCTAACTACTACTGCAAGCACCAACATGATGGATCTTAAGACATAAAGCAAGTAGAAGGAGAAAATCACAGAATTCATACATATGATTTAGTTTTTATGAAGTTTAAAAACAAGCAAGACTATTATGCTGGAAAACAGGTCAGTGGTTACATTAGGGGTGAGGAGGAACTGGTGATGTGAAGGGGGGGAGCCCATTAATTTGTTTACTTTGTGATCATTCTTAGAGCTGAAAACTTATCTGTGCTCTTTTCTGTAGGCACACTATACTTCAGAAAAAGAAGTGAAGCCCAGCTGGTGTGGCTCAGTGGTTGAGTATCGACCTATGAACCAGGAGGTCACGGTTCAATTCCCGGTCAGGGCACATGCCCGGGTTGTGAGCTCCATGCCCAGTGTGGGGCGTGCAGGAGGCACCCAATCAATGATTCTCTCTCAGCATTGATGCTTCTATCTCTCTCTCCCTCTCCCATTCGCTCTGAAATCAATACAAATATATTTTGAAAAAAAAAGTTAGAAAATTCTGGGGCATTGAGCCTCAGGGTACCTCAAGAATTTAAGAAATACAGGCAAAATTAAGTAGATATTGCCAAACATAATGGCCAAAAATATCAAGGAAACTGATGAAATAACACAATGTACAGGACAGTGGGAGGAGAGAGGGCTATGAGCTTGGAGTGTAAATTGTTACAGCTATTCTGTGGAACAATATAAAAAACCATAAAATGGTCATAGCCTATAACACAACAGTTCCACATTCAGCA